CCTGCTGAGCCCAGCCCTCCGTCTGGGACCCTGGCGCTCTCCCACTACCTTGCCCGCCCCTACCTTCTCCGTCCGCTCCCCTCCCGCCTTCTCTCCTTCCCGTTCCTCTCTCTCCTCTCGCGTCATTTACTGAAACCTCTCGTTAAATTAACCCTTCTCCAGGGAGGCTCCAGGCTCTGCTTCCTCACCTCCTCTTGGTGCTCAGCTGCCCCCTGTCTTCTCCCTTTGTCATTCCGCTGGTAAAGATGACCGGTGACTTCCTACTGCCCGCCCCACCGGACACTTTTCAGCTCACGTCTTGGCTTATGAGACTTTCCTCTGATGCATTTGATAATGAACAACCCTTTGGCTGAAGCTTGGCTAAAGTGATACCCACGTTCCCAGGTCTCTTCATGTACCTCTGACTTCCCCTTCCTCTCTCTCATCCTCCGGTCTCCAGGGCTTCGCTCTGGGCCACTGCCCTTCCCACTCTCCACTGATCGCTGCGTGGTCTCGCTCCTTCCAGAGTTGCCACTACTCCTACAGACTGATGGCTCCCAAGCAGACACCGCCAGCCAGGAATTCTCCCCACAGCCTCCTGCATGCCTCCTCGTGTGTGTTCCAGCGACGCTGCCCAGGGAACACTCCAAAACAGAAGCATCTTGATTCCCTTGAACCGACTTGCCCTCTGGCTCTGCCATGACCCTCTGGGTACCCGAGTTACCCAGGTGTGACACCTAGTTGCCCTCAGCCCCTCCTCCCTTCCTGACCCCACCTCTCAGCCCCCTCCCCAGAGGCAACGGCCCCACCCCGCTAGTTAGCATCTGAGTCACGACGCCACTGCCAAAACGTTTCTTGGATTCATCTATGTCTCTTCATCTCCGCTTCCACATCCTCGATAAAGCTTTAATCAGGCATCTTTTTTCGGATTACTCAAACATGCCTTAGTTGCTATCCTGGCCATTGGCCCTGGGCTCCCTCCAGTATGTCCCTGATGTGACCACCCACACACACGATCTGCCTCCAGCCACAATCTGACCACGTCATTCATGGCCCCCGCCCCTGAATGGCCACTCACCCCTACCGCAGTGCTCAGTCATGGACGAACATCAGAATTAATCACACAAGAGAGCATTTTAAAATCTGATGCTGAGGGCCTAATTCAGCATCTCTAGAGGTGGGTCTTGGAATTCAAACTTTTATGCATCCCAGGAGGCTCTAGCATACAGGCAGAGTGGAGACTCGGTCACCCTTTACAGGGTAAAGTTCTAGGTCCCAGATCACGATCCCTGGCCTGGCTGCTGCCTCTCCTCAGCCTTCTCTCCTGCCATTCCCCGCTGTGGTCCTTCTGTTCTAGAAACTTCAACTTCTCCCCAAGTGTCCACTCGCGCTGTCCCTGCTGGCCTCCCCTCCTCACACTTGACAGCCTGAGCTCGGTCGCCACCTCCTCCTGGAAGCCCTTCCTGATATCACCTCCTAAGCAGGTAGGTTCTCCTTCTTCGTGTGCCCCAAGATCCTGTGCGCTTCTCAGTTACTGTATCGACCACACCGTATTATAATTATCTTTTGACTGCTTCCCATGAAAGTTTCTTGAGGGCAAGGGTTGTGATTAATTTATTTCTGTATCCCAGCACCTGACAAAGAACAGGCATTCAGATATTTGAATGAATCAATTAAAAACTGAATGTCCACATATAATTGCGGTGATACTCAAATAAAAAGTAACTCTAATAAATGACAACTTACTTTGTCAGCTGCCTAAATTAGGGGTACTGTAAATGTACTTTTACTGAAGCAACAAACAGAACAATGAGACAGGTTACTACTGAGGCATGCTCAGTGAGCTTCGGGGGTAAATTCTCCCCGATGCCTGATCTAAACCAGCGGCACCCCGCAAGGTGCCCATAGAGCACGTCAGTGCACACAGCTGGTGCCTCTCCACCACACACGACCGCTGGCCCAGCAGAGTCCGAGGTGCTGGCGGAGTGCGGACAAAGGTCCGTTCTTCCCGAAGTGATGGCTCCAACAAAGGCTGTGGTTCTAAAAGCAAACACGCCCTGACACCCTGACTCTGTCCCTTCCGTCACTGGGGCCAAGGAGGCTGCCGTGAAGGAGGCGTGGGCTCCCACCTCAGCCGCGGACAAGACCTTCGGGCCCGGGAGTGGCGACTGCAGGTCGGCAGGGGGAGAGGCCACTCTGACCAAAGCACTCCTGGAAGTACTGAAAAGTGACACTATTGAGCTAGAGAGGAAACTACGCTAAAGGAAAGTTTATTAATGGAAAGCCTTTTACCTGATTCAATTTTGTTAAGTATTTTTCTCGCACACTGTACAAAGGCCTCTTCCACGTTCTCCCCGGTTAGTGCGCTTGTTTCCAGAAACATCAGCTCTGAAATCGACATCAAACAAAACACGAAGCCGTATTTAGAAGACAATCACAATTATTCGATTCATAACCGCCAGCTTAGTACACTCTTAGAATAATAGACGAAATAGAATTTAGTACTTAAAACCAGGTATTTCTGCAAATATGAAATCAATAAATGTCAAAATATTTTTTTAAATATTAGAAGAAATCTAACTTTTTACGAAAAGTAACTAGTATTTTGTGCTAGCACTTAAATGTGTTGAAGAAACTAAGCAAGCAGGACGCTGGTAAGGAAGCAGGCTGGCTGAAGGCACCCGGCTGTTGATATAAGACAAAGTAGCAATTGCCTTTCCAATAGTCTCCACGTCACCACAAATACAACCTACAAGTGCTGACATCTGGTGTGCCGCCCTGACAGTGAGGGGATCTTACACGAATGAGCCCTCTTCTTATTCACCAGCTGGTGACTCATGCAGCAGAAGGCTGCTCTCCTTGCTTTTGTGAGCAAACCACAACCTCTCCAGACCCTTGTTTCCTTCCTTGTAAAAATGAGTTTCATTTAAATGACAAATAAATCCCTTTCAAGCTTTAACATTCTAGGCGTGCATGTTTCTAAACAGCTTCTTTACAAACACATGAAGGCTTATGTTTTTATCGCATGTTTATTTTCTTAGCAGAAAACCTGCTCGTTTGTGAGCGTGTAAGTTGGTAGTCCTGGAGTCCAACTGAAAGTTGATATTAGGATATTTTAGTTATTGATTGCTTCTGAAAATTAAAGTTATTTAAAAATGTCTGAATTCTTCTTTTTTTAAACCTAAGCTATGTTTTTCTAAGTATCCTTTTTTTGGTGAGATAAGTGTTTTTTTTTGTTTTTGTTTTGTTATTTCACATCTTTATTGGAGTATAATTGCTTTATAATGGTGTGTTAGTTTCTGCTTTATAACAAAGTGAATCAGTTATACATATACATATGTTCCCATATCTCTTCCCTCTTGCGTCTCCCTCCCTCCCACCCTCCCTATCCCACCCCTCTAGGTGGTCACACAGCACCGAGCTGATCTCCCTGTGCTATGTGGCTGCTTCCCACTAGCTATCTATTTTACGTTTGGTAGTGTGTATATGTCCATGCCACTCTCTCACTTTGTCACAGCGTACCCTACCCCCTCCCCATATCCTCAAGTCCGTTCTCCAGTAGTTCTGTGTCTTTATTCCTGTTTTACCCCTAGGTTCTTAATAACATTTTTTTTTCTTAAATTCCACATATATGTGTTAGCAGACGGTATCTGTCCTTCTCTTTCTGACTGACTTCACTCTGTATGACAGACTCTAGGTCTATCCACCTCATTACAAATAGCTCAATTTCGTTTCTTTTTATGGCTGAGTAATATTCCATTGTATATATGTGCCACATCTTCTTTATCCATTCATCCGACGATGGGCACTTAGGTTGTTTCCATCTTCTGGCTATTGTAAATAGAGCTGCAATGAACATTTTGGTACATGACTCTTTTTGAATTATGGTTTTCTCAGGTATATGCCCAGTAGTGAATTCTTCTCATTCAGCTGTCTATAAGCAACCGTTAATTTTACGTGTCATCCTTATGTATTCTATACGGAAATTCAGAGAAGTTTCAAAGGCATCTTTAGCCAAATGACTTAAATTTAATGTAAGTGAAATACAGCCAATTAGTCCAGTATGTCTTCTACTGCTTCCCTTTCTAGTTATGTCTAATATTTCACTAACTTAGCTTCAAATTACATTTTATAAAAGATGACATCATCTGATTAGGGCCTTTAAAGATTGTTATAAATTTCACTTTAAACCAAGACCTGTGATATTCAAAGATCCTAGACTGAAAAGTCACCACAGAATGCTAAGAGATTAGCTTTTATCGTCATAGTAACCTTTTTTTTTTTTTTTTTTTTTT